CCCCCAAACACACAGCCACACTGCACCTCCACCATCCAGCTACACCCCAGGCCTTTCCCCCAAACACACACAACATGCAGCACCCATTTCCACCCATAGACTAATAGATTCCAAGGCCAGCAGGGACTGTTGTGATCATCTAGCCTGACCTCCTGTATAACACAGCCCAGATAACTGCCTCAAAATAATTCCTAGAGCAGAGCTGTTAGAAAAACATTCGATGTTGCTTTTAAAATTTGCAGTGGTGGAGAATCCACCACCAATCTTGGTAAATTGTTCCAATGCTTAATTACTCTCAATGTTAACATTTTCCACCTTATTTATAGTCTGAATTTGTCTCACTTGAACTTCCAGCCATTGGCTCACGTTAGACCTTTCTCTACTAGACTGAAGAGCCCATTGTTAAATATTTGTTCCCCATGTAGGTACTTACAGACTATAATCAAGTCAGCCCTTAATCTTCTCTTTGTGAAGTGAAATAGATTGAGCACCTTGAGGCTATCACTATCAGAAATGTTCTTTAATCCTTCTTGTGGCTCTTCTCTGACCCCTTTCCAGTTTATCAATATCCTTCTTGAATTGTGGGCATCAGAACTGGACACAGGATTCCAGCAGCGGTCGCACCAGTGCCAAATACAGAGGTAAAATAACCTCTCTGCTCTTACTCAGGATTCCCCTGTTTAGGCATCCCAGGATCACATTAGCTCTTTTGGCCACAGTGTCACATGGGGAGCCATATCAGCTGAATAGCCACCGCGACCCCCAAATCTTTTTCACTCACTGCTTCCCAGGATAGAGTCCCCATCCCATAAGTATGGCCGACATTCTGTGTTCCCAGATGTGTGCGTTGACATTAAGCCATATCAAAACACATATTGTTTGCTTTCAGCCAGTTTACCAAGCGACGTAGATCATTCTGAATCAGCCACCTGCCCTCTTCTTTATTTACCACTCCTCCAATTGTTGTGTCTTCTGCAAATTTCATCAGAAGTGATTTTGTGTTTCCAGGTCACAGACAAGGATGTTCAATAGCGTAGGGCTAAGAACCAATCCCTGTGGGACCGCCCTGGAAACACACCCACTTGATAGCAATTCTCCATTTACAGTTACATTTTGAGACCTATCAATTAGCCAGTTTTTAATCCGTTTAAAATGTGCCATGCTAATTTTATATTGTTTTTTGTAATCAAAATGTCATGCAGTACCAAGTCAAACACCTTACAGAAGTCTAAGTATATTACATCAACACGATTACTTTTATCAACCAAACTTTGTCTCATCAAAACAAGATATCAAGTTAGTTTGACAAGATCTATTTTTCCATAATCCCTGTATTGATCTGCATTAATTACCTTACCCTCATTTAGTTCTTTATTAATTGACTACCATATCAGCTACTCCATTATTTTGCTTGTGATCAATGTCAGGCTGAAAGGTCAACTCATTTACCCTTTCTAAAAATTGGCACAATATTAGTCATCTTCTAGTCTTCTGGAACTTCTCCAGTACTTGAAGATTTTGAAAATCAACATTAATGGTCCAGCAAGCACCTCATCCAGCTCTTTTAAAGCTTAGATGCAAGTTATCTGGACCTGTTGATTTTAAAATGCCTAACTGTAGTAGCTTCTGTTTAACATCCTCCAGAGATACAAATGGACTGGAAAGAGTTTTATCATCACCCTATGATGACACTGCATCATGTTTTTTCCCCAAATATAGAATAAATATTTATTGAAAACTTCTGTATTATTAACAATTCTACCATTTCCATATAGTAATGAACCAAAACCATTGTAAGGATTCCCGCCCCCCCAATATATTTTAAAAACTCCTTGTCCAGTGCTGGCCATAGATTTCGCCTTGCATCCCTTGGCAATTTTCTACAGTTCCTACCTTCTAATTTATATTAATTACTAACAGCTTCCCCTCTTCCATTTGTTGAGAGAGAGAGAGTTGGGTTTTTGTTTTTTACTTTTTACAGCTGCCTTCACTTCCTCTCTAACCCAGGTCAGTTTTTTAATCAGCAGAGCCTTTCTCCTTGTTTGTGGCTTTTTGGGGCATCTAGTAAGGGGTTCTTAAATGATTCCCAACTATCATTCACTTTTTTCTGATTAAATTCTTCCTTGCAGGTGATTTGGCTCATACTTGTTTTCAGCTTTGTGAAATTGGCCCTCTTAAAGCACCAAGAATATATATAACTGGTCTGGAGTTCGTCACATTTATAATGTGCAAGGAGAATAAAGTCATGATTGCGCCCACCTAAGCTACCATTAACTTTTAGTTTTGTGATCAGTTCCTCTTTATCCGTTAAGACAAGGTCTAATATAGAATTTTCCCATGTTGACTGCAACAGTTTTTGAGTTAGGAATGTTTAGAAAGCCCCAAGGTTGTTTTCATAATGGCAGCATGAGAACACCAGCATGTGTCACTCAGACTGACGTCCCCCAGGATTGCGCAGGTTTTTTCCTACGTTACAGAAAGGTGCGTAAGGAGGCCATCATTCCTTTCCCATAAGTAAAACTACTGCCCATCTTCCCCCAACACACGCATGCAGCCACACCGCACACCCCAGCACCACACACAGAAAGGCTCCTCTCGTGGTCTCTTTCAAAGGGTTTATTAGAATAAATATTTACATCTATTGCAAATGGTTAATAGGCAACAAGGGACAGAGCTCCCCTCCCACCCCCGAATGGAGGGACAGCAAGGGACTAAGTGCTCATCTCCCCCACCCTCCATCTGCAAGCACAGGGCAGTGGGAAGTAGAGACCCCCCCAGCAGTGGGTAGCCCTGGGACTCCCACCTGGGCAGGATGACAGCCCTTCCCCACAGTCCCTAAGCTCCACCCAGAGCCAGCAGGAGTTGCCCAGTCGCCTCCCCTCCACCTCCACCAGGCTGAGTGTTGATCTCAGGCCAGGCCCCTCTTGTCAGACTC